AAAATCCACCTAAAAGCACCTCTAAAATGCCTTAGCATGTTATATATTGTTTGTGTAATATGAAAATGACAGTTTGTGGTTATGAGTAGATCAATACTACTCTCGTGTCTTTCCATTAAACCTGAAGCTGCAGCTATGAGACCTAGCTTGTGTTAGCACAACCACTTAAAACGAGGTAATTTTTTTTTCATCTTAAAGTACTAAATCTGCTTACTAGCACCTCTTGAGGATACTAATTTGAATGTTGTATACCAGACGTTTAAAGGTGGAGTCTGTGGTTGTTAAGAAAGATTGTTGATATTTAGCTAGTTAGCATATTTAGCTCGCTAGCATGTGCCAGATTTAGCTTTGAACACCAAGCAGTTTTCAAGCGTTTTTTTTCACCTGTTGCATTTTCACTGTAATAAAAAACTCATAGACGCTAAAAATCACAGAAAAAAGAATAAATGAAAGTTGAATTTCTTTTATTATTTATTTTACAAAAACTGAAAAAAACATGTACAACATTTTTCCACATGGCCACAGGTGTTACCAAAATGAAATGAAATGAATGAAATGAAAAATACTTTATTTATCCAAGAAAGGAAATTCAAAAACTGGACAAAAATGTTGGCTCTACATACTAAAGATATTTTACCAACATTTAACGTTTAATTTGTTTGCATTCTTGTCTCCTGAGTAAACACAGCCTGCAGTTAGGCCAAATATTCACAGAGTAAGTCACTGTTGGTTGCAGTTGAGCTACGAATAGCGTCAGGATTGTGCCAAAAAGTGTCGAATTTTTTTGATTTTAAGAGATTCTGTTTAGTGTAAAGAGTTTTTGTTTTGGCAATTTAAAAAAAAAGATGTGTAGAGTTAAAAAACACATGATTAGTTAAGGACCATGATGAGAAAGTTGAAGTTTGAAGTTTCTGGCTCTGATAAATGATGCAATTTTGGTGATTTTTTTTGTTTAAAGGTGGCAGGTTTTGGGGTTCAGAGGGTTAAAATCTCTCTTGCTCCCTCAGCTTCCTTCCCCATTCCCAGCATGCACGAGGACTTATTTGCTGAATTTGTCAAAACGTGTATTGGTTTAAAATCTCATGCTCCCATCTTTAATAATACATACAAAGAAAAAAAAGAAGCGTAAAAGCTACGAAGTCTTACATGCTGGATCATTTCCTTGGCTGTGGCACAGAGACTAATGAAATTCCTTAGAAGTTGAGATATTCCTTTTAATCCAACATGCCAACTGCAAATCTTCCACACTCTTCGTAGCCTCGAGCAACGAGTAAGAAGAACTGGCGCTAATGGAATAATTCCCATTTGTTAATGGTCAATTTAAAAGAAATTATGACTGAATGCAGTAATTATCAGCATACTCTTCCCATTTCACCCCCGTGGGCCACAGAAATCTTCCCCTCAAACTGGATCCCTCAGATAATTAGTCACAGGAAAACTGCCAAGGCTCCAGTTTTTATTCCACACTGTCTTCATTTTTTATCGGTGCCATATAAGAGTGAGAGAAATGCACTGTTGGTATTCTAAAACTAGTGCAGCCAGCTACTTGTCAATCCTGATGAATGTTATCAGCGAAGAGGTGTTATTTCATGTTGTAAACCGGGAGACATCCATCAGCGCCGTCTCTCTCTCAGGTGTGTGTATGTGGGCGTCCGAGGCCCGGCGAAGCCTCTGCCAGTGAGTAATAATGGCAGAATCGGGGTAAAGCGTCAGGTTTGATCAAAACGGCCAAATCGAACGGACATGAGTCTCCCAGTTGTCCAAACACTCATACCGTCTTCAGACAAAGTGCAGCTATTCTGATACTGTTTTGAAATATTTACTGGCATCCGAAAGCGTCGACTAACAGTGAGCTGATCTGTGAGGTTTTTTTTCCCTCTTCCACTCAAAGTGTCAGCGAGATTCTTGGGGATTTGTGTTTTGGAGGAGTTATAGGTTTGGGGATGCACTGTCTGTCTCGGAAAAACTTTAAATCTAGGATACGGCTTCTTACCTTTCAGACTTAGCACCGCTTCCGCCGAAAGACTTTAAGCACCAAAATAGACTGGGAGTCGAAAAATAGGCATCTTTTGCATTAATGCGGAACACACACTTCAAATTCTCAGTTTAATATTTAGCAATTTTCCACTCTCTATGTAATCCCTAGAAATCCATTAACATTTTAAAATGCCTCCTTCTGTTTTGCTCTCCTTTTTTTTTTTTCAGTCTCCAGGTCAATGCAAATTCCATCAATGTCATTAAAATGGAGAGAACGGCCATGTAATTCACTTTTCTGTGAGCCTGATCCATTGGGGCTTTTTTTTCTCTTTTTGATGGCCAAAGTACTGACGGCCTCGTGGGGTGGGGGGAACAGGAGCACCAGCAGGAGAGGAGAGGATGCTTGGTGTTATTATTTTTAGCCGACTGAGGGCGATTGAAGGCAGCCGTGCCTCGTCAGAAATAAGGTGAACGCGTGAGGCGCCACTAGACTTAATTTCCCCCCCCACACCCTGTAACCCTGCCAGCTGCCGAGCACAAGGAACGATTGTCATTCGCCGCACGCAGGTAACACGAGGCTTAGCGCATTGCAGACTTTGATCTCTTAGCGCCTAAATGTTGTGTCAATTCGCTCCCCGTTTGACCTCTGAGGCACCGGCTAAACGTCTGGACTGCGTGTCCTGAATCAGCGTTCGGTGACCCACGGGGCTGCAGGCAGCGACGTGAAGGATGTGTTTAGAGGAGGAATAAAACACACAATGATGCCTTTACATAAGAAGAAAGCCCCCCTTTATTTTTTTTTTTGCATTTCATCTTGCGCCCCACTGTTCCACAAGAGTTCTCCAAAAGGCCTGATGATTATTTATAGAAGGCGAGCTGTGAAGAGCTTTCACTTATGTAACTCGCTGAAGGTAAAGGGGGGGAAGAGTTAAGATATGCAAATGCAATTATAGTAGAGGCCAGTTTGTTACACGCTTTCCTGCAGACGGGATGAGAGGAGATTTATTTATTTTTTTATTTTTTTCTTAGAGATTGCAATTGAGGTGCTTTGAGCAAATGGCATTTCCCTAATTTCTAGCGTAAGAGAGAAGAGGGGGGAGAAAAAAAAAAAAAAAAGACAGAGTCAGAGACAGAATGGAGAGAGAGGGAGAGGAGAGAGAGAGAGAGAAAATCTACGTCGTCATAAAGTCACGTGACCGCCGAGTTTCCTTGGAGACAGCAGCAGTGTAGTACATTGAGATGCTCGCCCGCTCAGTTGAGGGCAGATTAGGCATCTGGCAACAGCAGCGGTTGGATGTATTTTGCCAGCCAGGCAGGTGCTTTCTCTCCTCACAGAGGTAAGTGCAGGCGCCTCGTGTCTCGCCGTCTGTCTGGATCCCGGTAATGTGATGAGCGTTTCCAAACAGTTTTCACATGGAGGGGTTTTTTAGTTCTGGAGTGTTTGCAGAGACTGGAAGGTGACATGTGCAGGTTTGAGTAGTTCCTGTTATTGCATGAATTAGCAGCAAAAAAACAAATAAGAGTGATGAATTACTGGTGTCTTTTTGATTCTGTTAGGCTGCTCTTGAGGGGAAATGTAAATGCATGAACCAATGAATAATTACAAAGGAACATGCTTAACATCCCCCCTGGAGCGGTGCACATGAATGCTTTAGTTTGTGAAGCTGTACATTATTTGAATTCTCTGCTTTCTGTTTTGTTTTGCACTTTGTTGGCCAGAAAAAGAAAAAAAAAAAAGTAAGCGAGCTCTCAGTGGCTCATGCTGATAACACTATTTTGCACATTGTGGATATAAATAGTTTGATTTGACTAAAAGGAAAAATGCTGATTGCACAAATAAGCAGAGTAAGACGCAGCTGCTGTTCCTTTCATGTGATAATGAGAGCTTTAAATAAAACAGTCACTTACAGTAGAATGAAGGCTGAGAGATACGGGGTGCAGATTAAAGAGGACTACACAGGCATGGAAATCCAGCCATTGGTTTTGTTATTTTTCCGCGAGCACCTGAGACGTGATATTTTGATCCGTTAATGAGACTCTGTGGTCCCGGGCTGGTTTTTTTTCGGGGGTTGCTGATTCCGCCGCCAGATGGACCCCATTGCTTTGTTTACTCTCACAAATTACCTCCCACAATGTCACCTTTCCTAGTTTTTTCACAGACTCCCGGTTTAATTAGATTTCTTGTCTGCTGTTGTTGCTCTTGCTCGTGTTAATTAGGTTTAAGCTAATAGCCCCCAAAAAAACATCTAAATTGCTGTTTCCCCGGAAAAGTCAATTATTTCACTACAATTTTGAGTCCAGCATGTTGGTGCCTGTGGTTTTTTTTTTTCTTCTGTTTTTGAGTTCATAATGATCCCCCTGCCTCCCCTTTTCTTGCCCTCCTTGGTACAGTAGGATTAAATTGAAAGTCAGGATCGCTGATTCATGATTATTAATAAAATGCAAATGCCCTCTCCTCCTTCCCCCCCTCCTCCGATGACAAGCACCACAGGCCTCTGCAGTGTAGCATTAAAGACCTCTAATCTTGTCTTTTAGTCAGCCGAAACCGGTGGCCAACAACATGAACGACACAATGCTCATGTCCTCTGGGGCACCTACTCCCACCAAAAGGTAAGCAAACAGGCATGATGTCTTTTTTGAAGATGTTGTTTATCTTTAAAGCTGACAAAAAATGTCACTCCGACTTAAGCGCACTGAAAATAAGTTCTTTTAATCACACCGAAATTCAGTCTGGGTCCCAGAATAGGTGACAGATCCTCTCTCATCACTGGAAATAACAAGAATAGCGCGGCAAATCATACTACAGATGTAATTTGTTCCTTCACACTTGACACACATTTTTTTGCATCCGAGCAGCGTGCCCTTGCGAGTGTATTTTTAGAGGAAAATTTGTTACGCTGTCGTGAAGAATATGTGAGCACTCCTACTTAAAGGGGCTGATTTGACAAATAGATTATGATAGAACTGGAGCCGCACCATGTAAGCAGATCGCAGCCGAGGAACCGTCCTCTTGTTTCAACCCTCTCACTTTAAAGGCCACCTCTATTATTATTTACTTACAGTGGTAATGAACCATTGTGGTTACGAATACAGTAATGGAGAGAGCACTCTGAGGGAGCCGTAATGCATCCGCACTCTCTCGGATTTTCCTTTTTTGTGCATCTCGCTCGCACATCTTTCCGGCAATTTGTGTTTGCAAGACGGGGACTGGTGAGGGGGGCTCGGGACTTTCCACGGCACAATTAGTGGGGATGAGACGTCCCTGTCCGGTGTACAGACAGAGCAGAGGTGTGCGTATCAGCCCGGGTTATCAGATGGTTGATTAAAATCCACATAAAGACTTTTGTCAAGAATGCAGAGGGTGCTTGAATGAAATCTGTGCATGTTTTTTTTCCACTCCTCTGGGCTGAGTTATCATACAGTACTACACCAAGGACCCCAGCAGCTGAAGGGCAACATGCACACTGCAAAAAAATAGAAATAAAATCCAGTAATGTGCAGCAGAACCGAGCCTTCATATGTGTCGTTTTAGTCCAAATGTGAGACCGTGGTAAATATTTTCCCACTAGAAACGGTACATTTAGAAGGAAATTAAGTCATTTAACCTTGCTGAAAGCGAGGCAACAATCAATAGCAGATAAAAATTTCTTGCAGAGATGAACACTTTGTGCAGCGCGGTCTTGTCTCAGAGGGCTGACAGTATCCAGATTAGAGCTGGTTTGAGGGAAGCTGACAAGATAGGGACACCCGAGGCTGTAAACGAAGCCTCGCATCCAGACCCGTGGAGGTCAGCGGAAGACGTCACGTGTTGTACGAGGGTGGGGGGGGAAAGCGACGCTCTCCTGAGGTTTGTCTCGCTGTGGCAGTAATGAAGAAGCCCGATAACCTTTGTCTTGACATTTTGCTCTCTGAGTCAGAGCTGCTTTGGGAAGATGTCATGCACCGAAGAACCCGTTGCCTTGGAGGTGTCTAAACAACTACAAAGCTGCCATTTTTAGGGCAGAAATTGCGCATTAAGCCGCCGTGACGCCTCCAAAATAGGTTGTGTTGAGTGTCGGTGTGGATACCAGGAGATAAGGCGCTGAATGAGGAGGGATGAGGCAGGTTTCGTTTAGTTGCAGGGAACTCGGGGCCGGTTCCCACCAGCCTCTCTCTGTCCCACATTTGGTTTGCAAATATGAATTTATTGTTATAATTACCTGGCACTGGCCTGGCCGCCGTCACATGAAGGGCCTATGAGTCAAAGATGCGACTGCTGAATAATGCAAAGCTCCTCGTGGCTCTGTCTCAGTTCAAGAGCCCCAAACTGAAAAGCAGCACCAGAGCTGTCCTTGTTTGTTGACTCTCTCAGATTCCGTCTTTTATCGGGGGGGAGAAAAAAAAAGAAAGAAGCAGAACTTCACTACAAGATGTCGGGGCAGAGCAGAAACCGAATGCGCTCCGTTTGAAAGATTGCGAGTGTTGTGCTTGTAGCCTCCATCACAGTCTGCTCTCTGATACTGTCTGCTCTGCTGACATGGCATCTCCTCCCTCCCACAACGCAGACAATTGCTCACCACCAGCAAACCAACACCACGCAATTTATTACCCATTTGTCATGCACAACCGCTACGGCTGACGATAACATTTAAAACGAAAAAAAAAAAAAAAAAAGAAAAAAAAAAACGCTGCCTTTGACACTGAAGAGCTTCGAGCTCGGAGTTAACTGACAACTGATCAAACGTGAGAACAACTGAAGATGTCATTATGTGAAACTCATGAACTGAACTGCCAGAATGTTTCACTGAGTGACAAGCTGGATGCTTAGAGACGGAGTTTGTGAGTCTGGGGAAAGATTGTTGATATTTAGCTACTTGGCATGTTTGGATAGTTAGAATGTGCCAGATTTAAATGAAGCAAACACAAATGTGCACAAAGTGTGCGCAGGAAATGTGTTGATCGGTCCAACCAGGGCTCGATGTGAGCGTCAAACTTTATTCAGTGCAAACAAAGAACTGACTGAGCTAATAATTGCTGAATTTAAAAGTAAATGGACTGAATTTGAATTGCATATTCCACTTTTAATATTAAAGTTTAGATTAAACCTTTTAAATTCTCATGAATTAATCATAAAGTCATTTATCTGCTTTATATTATCCTCGATTTGCAATTTGGTTTGTTTTCCATTGAGTACATTGACTGTACAGCTTACTTTAGCACAAACACAACAGCAAATTATGCGAAATATCTCAGTTTTAACTGACAGAAATGGACAGAAATTTCATACGATCATTTTCTGATTTTCAGGGAAATTCAGTTATGATAAAAAGTTGTGCACTGAACCTTGATTTAATCATTTAAATGTGATTTTGCATGTATTTGCCAGGTAACTATAACACTGTAAGTCACAGAGAAAACTAATTTGTGCTTCATTTAACCCTCCGAATCCCAAAATCTTAAAAATTCTGAAATTTATCAGAGCCAGAAACTGTAAAAACAGGAACAATCGTCATATTTTCAACTTGATGGCAGTGCTTGAAATACTCATCTGTAAAATTTTAAAAAAGGTAACACCTTCTTAGCTTAAAATCACAATATTTTATTGAAAATCTGTTTATCTACATGTCCAATTCAAAAACATGCCAAATATTAAGCTTTTGCAAAGAAAAAAAACAACAAAAAAACCCCAAAAAACTGAAAATCATGTCACAAAAATGTTGAATTCTGCAGATTGTAAAGCCAACAGGAAACAAACACAGAAACTCAAAATGGTAGTAAAATATCTACAATATAGAGACTTACATTTCAAGTATTTGTAACACCATTTCATATTTTTCTAGTCAACTGCATTGTTTTCAATAATCTTTTGACATTTTTGCTGCCCCATGCTGCACAAAAGACATGCTTAAGTTCCCTCTACTGCTAGCCGTGGTCGTTCAGTTTCCGTAGAGGTGCAGAACTTTATATTGCAACGAAAAATGAGCCCACAGTGAGTAAAAAATGTGACAGGAGCAAAAAAAAAAAAACAATACAGAAACTGCTTGGGCTTCAGAGAGTTAAAGCACCATTTGAGGAAACCAGTGTAAAAGAAAAAAGTCGGCCCTCCCACCTTAAACAGCAAAACATGACGGACGCAGTGGTGTCTGAGAAATTGGGTTTAAGTCAAAAAGCTTGACACGTGCAGCAGAAATAAGTATCTGGGAAAGATGCCAGTCGAGGAGGGCTTAAAGGCAGTTCATGCATCTCCACCGGGCAGCTCCCTGATGTGTGTTAATGTGCTACTCTAATCCTACAAGAAGCCCCAGTCTCTGCCTCAGGACAAGGCGGTAAATTATTTAAAGTGTCCCATTAAGACAAGACATTTTTCGATGTCTCGGTTTTTTGACATTTTTGGTTTTCCTCGATCAACTGAGTTGTCACGTGCCAGGCGACCCCATCTCGACGCATTTTAAGATATCATCGCTGAAATAAGAAAAAGATTATCTCATCACACCAGCAGCTTTTTGCATCTGCTTTTGGGGAAAGATAAGATTTTTATGGGCAGTTTTGCAGCAGCAGCGAAGGCTCGTCGATGCAGCAGGTTTGAAACCAGATTGGGGTTTTATGGTCTTAATCATCGCTTACTCTCCAGTCAGAGTTAGAACAGCTTCCCAAACAACATTTCAGCTCTCCGTCACTCCTCATTGCAGACCGCCTGCAGAGAAAGAACAGCATATGTCCTGTCATCTGTCCACGCCATATGCCACGCCCATGATCATTTAAAGTCTTGTGCTTTACTTGACATTTTCAGTCGCTGATGAAATGGCCAGAATGGGCTCTGGCACAGTCACAAACGCATTTGGCATGCTGCATTCTTCCCCTTATCCATCTCCGTTCATTGTTATGACCAATTATCAGACTGTCTATCAACACCGGAGTCAGAGCCAAGTGGCATATATTAAGGTCACCTCAATTATAAAGTTTTCTACTTTCATGCAAATTATTTGATGTCATCTCTTTCGACTGTACCAACTTTTACTTACATAAGAGCTTCCGACAGTGGAGTCGGTGTTGCTGTATATGTGTGTGATGTGTCTCTCCGACTTCGGGCAGTGTCTTGGAGAGTCCGAGCCGGCTAGATGAAGAGCACCGCCTCATCGCTCGATACGCCGCCCGATTGGCAGCCGAGGCGGGAAACTCCACAGTGAGTATCTCACGCGAGGCCTCCGCGGTGGGCTTCAGTCGAATGTGACGCTTTGAAGTTGTCGTTGGTTTATTGTTTGCTGAAATGTCGAAGCTGCAGTCGGAATCTTTTTTTTTTTGCCTTCATTTGACAGTGCACAGGCAGGAAATAAAATGTAGGGAGGATGACTCCCTGTAAAGGTCAAGCTAGCTGGGAGTTGAACTGGGGACTCTGCTGCTGAGGGCGTTTTAAGACCATGTGGTATACGTCCTAAACATTCGGCCGCTGTGTCATCGCAGTTTTCTGAATA